CATATTTCCCATCAACAAATGCCTCGATTGCAGTTCTCTGTTCATCTATTAAAATGAATGCGCTGTCGATTTCTTTTACAACAGACGTGATAGTGGAATCTATACATCTCAATTCTCCAGCTGCAGTCATCTTTGAGGGAAACCAGTTCAACCCAAGCGCTCTTTGATAACGTGATGATTACTTAACTGCAGATCATCTGTTCATCATCGTATAAAGCCCGCCCTGGCAATTTGATTTGGCCCGACTAATTCTGAACCGATCATTCTTACTCCTTAAGGGATTGAGTCCAGACCGAACTTCCCGACCAAAAAATGTTGTGGGCGGCGTTCAGGTTGGCATCCAGACTATGAAACTATTATTGTAGGTTAAAAAAAGTGTTTAACTGTAACTGAATTCATACATTAATCAAAATTTTGGTGTAACCACACATCACTTCTGTCATCACCTGCTATTTATCGTCAATTTGATTGCGATTCATAAGCACTTAATTTAATTGGTTTCAGTTCAGTGTATTTCAAATAATATCTACTTTGCTTACAAGAAATTCTCTCTCTACAAATGGTACAGTATAAGTTACACTGGGATGCATCGGACTGATTCGAATGGTAAGTCTTTTTGAATGACCTCTTGAATGAACTTATAAGCGACACGTTTGTGAATGTATACTACACTGTAAAAAAATTTCCTGTAAATTTTACAGTAAAATACTGGCAGCAGGGTTGCCAGCCAGTTACTGTATTTTTTACAGTATAGTTCTGTAATTTAATTTACAGATTTTTACTGTATTCTCTGATTACAGTAAATAACTGTATTTTTTACAGTAGTTCCATGAATCTTTGTATTCGCTATATCAGGGAAATCTGTAAAATGCCAGCTGAATTTTAAATGTTAATTATTTATCAACTGCATAAGCTTTGAACAATTGTTTTTAAATTCATTAAGTGTTGTATAACACGCAACTTAATTCCCCTATTACTTCACAAAACAAACAAACTATTCAACATCCTATAAAAACAGGTCAACATTTATTTAATTTATAACTTTAAAATATGCATGAAAAAAAGCATAAAACAGTGTGTTTTGTATTTTTTTGTATTTTATTTTTATTTACAAATGGACATGAAATGATTTTTTTTTAATTACTTAAAACAAATAAGCCATCAGGGCCCTTCACACAAAGAAGAAATACGCAAATGACATTTAAAACGACAAGTTGACCAACATGATCATAATAAAATGGTTCTGAAAACAAAAGACATGAATGAATTGTCACCTCTTCGTTCCCAGATAAACATGTCCAAACAACAAGGCCCAAAGTGAGTCCAAAAAACGTATGATCAAAAATGGAGAATAAATCCGCTCCGGATGCTGTTCCATCACAGGATGCAAAGAGTGGCTAGAAATATTGAAAAGGACATTACATTAGATATATTACAAAACATAATGATGCAGTCAGAGACAAACAGAGGGATGACAGTTAAGAGTCAGATAAAGAATATTAAAAGGTTACATTAAAGAAAAATAGATATTTGTGTGTGTGTTTTGTGTGTGTACTTACATTTCAGAAATTCCACTGAACAAACCACTTTGCAGGGAAGAGTGGCAACATGTGGGTTCACTGCAACCTGTTTCTTCTGTACCATTTGCCCTGTCCTTTTAGATGGCAATTTTCTTCTTTGTTCCTCTCTTACAAAGCACATAAAGGGTCAGGAAACAGACAATATGTAATTAGGATTGGTTTTAAGTTTTTCATGCTTGTAATCATGATTTTTAAATCTGTTAGAGCAGTGTTTCTCAACTCCAGTCATGAGGACCTCCCAGGAAGACCTCCCAACCCTAACCCTATGTCCACAAATTAAAACACCTGATTTAACTAATTAAAGGGATAGTTCACTTTGAAATTAATTTTTGATATGTTTTAGCTTACCTCAAGGGCATCCAAGATGTAGGTGTCTTTGTTTCCACAGTATTTTCAATTTTGATATTTTTAAGTCGAACCATTCTTGTCTTCAGTCATATAATGCAGGTCTATGGTCACCACCTCAAAGAGCATGCACAGAGAAGTCCAAATTAAACATGATTTAATGACTCGTAAATGTAAGTACACATTGATGGCCTAAGACACGAAACGAGCGGTTTGTGTGAGAAAACGAATGACGTACGAGACGAGTGACGTATACGCGCGAGAGATCACTTCCGTTTGTCTTAGGCCATAATGTGTACTTACATTTACGACGACACGACCCGACCGTAAGTCGACGACACGACCGTTGAAGATCACAATGCCTCTGTGTCGATTTGAAATTTACAGCAATATTCTGTATTTTGAATCAAACCGCCATGCGGCCCCAGAATGCATTGCAGTTTACAGCAAAATGCTGTATTTTTAGAAAACAGCCAGCGGCTGTAAAATATTGCTGTAATTTTTACAGCAATTCATTACAGTGTATAGCTACACTGATTCTGTTGTACTGCATATTTCTGATTTACTAAAAAGAAAGAGTTTGAAAGAGTAATTGTTGGTTAATTTAGAGTACACTGGTCAATCTTGTGTGCAGCCTGCTAGGACAACTCAAAAGAAAAAAAATGTTTCTTTGCCATTTTTTGCAGTACACACTTTTTTTTTTAATCGCCAAGTACAAATTGCAAATGAGTCTCTCTCACTCTATTCCCTTTGTATGTTTCGTAGCTCAAAGCACCCTACAAACTGCAAAATTCAGCATGAACTAATAATTAAACAGCGATTCTCTTTTATCTCTTTGATGCTGTAGTTCAGATTTACAACTAGAATTGTTCTTACTCCCTCAACCACCCCCATCATTTTCACGGCCCGTATGTTTTATGACCTGTGGGACCTTGTTAGGCTTGCAGACTGGTGGCGTCATGTGGGCTAGACTGCAGCGATAGTCACTGATGCTGCCCAAGCGTAGACTCGAGGTGCAGTCCCATAAGGAGCACTATGAGAAGATTGGGCTCCTCGGGGAGCAAGAGTTGTAGAGAACTCGCCTCAGAGTACATATAACGTTTATTTCCTGTGACATCAACATTGGTTCAAGCATAAAAACACTGTAAATGGACGTACCTATACTCACCCTCATGTAGTTCCAAATCTATATATTCTTTCTTCTGCAAAAACAAAATAAAATATTTTGAAGAATACTTTTGTCCATACAAGTCAATGAGGTCCAAGTCAGTAAGGTCCCAGTCCATTTTCATTATTTGAAAATATCATCTTTTGTGTTCCAAAATCTGAGATAAAAATGAAATTCAACAGTTTGAGATGTGGATGTAATACAGTTCAAAGGATGCATTTACCTGGCTTTACAAGAGGAGGAACTGGGGATGGATGATGGTAATTAGCTGCTGACCTATGCAATAAAGCTGTTCATAATATTGAATGGACCATAAACATATTGAAGCTGTGATAGGTGTCCTATTCCTAGCCGAAGCGAGTTTGACTGACGTGAACTGCCAGAACTAATGGTACACTTGATTAGTATGTGTGCAGTGTCCACACATTCTAGACCAGTGCTTCTCAATCATAGGGACCCACAGCTCTGACACACTAAGTTCTGTTCATAGAGCTTTTCAACGAGCTGATGACCTGAATTAGGTGTGTTGAAGGAGGGAGAGATTGGCCGTTTCTCAATACCAAGTACGCAAACTTCGGACTTTGATCCTTTATTTATTTATTTGATCCTTTAATAAATCCGGTTATTCTGCAAATGGAACAGAGCGTTCTTGATCGCGTCACTGAGCATGCTCTGGCTACCCCGGTTATCTCTTTATGTAGATGTTAGGCAACAATAAAATGAATTATGCTACAACTCTGCCTCTTTCCGTCAACAATAAAACGAAATATGTTATAAAACACCACTCTGCCTCTTTTCATCTAAAAAAATTCTTAAGCATTTTAGCCTAATGGCCATGTGGTTCAGGCAACGCGTACATTATCTTCAATATTCATAACAACATGAACATGATCTTTCTGTTTTCATTTTTAGAAATATGAAACAATATTGATTTTTATTGTCATTTAACAAACAGACAATGTTGTGTCATTTTATTTGATTGTACAAAATAGTGAAGATAATTACTTGCCTCTAAATATAACTCTATCCTATAAGTTATCCCTAAAACCAGAGGGAAATTATAGGTGAATAACACTGATATTGAAGTACTTAACGCTGGTTATAAGCCTAAACTTGACATAAACGGTGAACTTGAACTCCTCAAATCTGATTGGTTTATTGAAATGTTGCTCCAGGATCAACAAAGATGTTGATCCAGGAACATGTTGCACTTGGTAAAATCAGGTTCTGCCACAAATTACAAAAATATATGAATTTAAGGTATCTTTTTGTTTTACTTTCTATTTATCAAATAATCCTGAAAAAAAAAAAATCAAGTTTTCTACAAAAAATATCAACCAGCATGTTTTCAAAATATATAATTATAAGTAAAGTTTCTTGAGCACCAAATAAGCCAGAAAATTCAGCTTTCCCATCACAGGAAATACATTCTTAAAATAGATACTTTTGTTTACAATTATATTAAAGTAAGTTGATTTAAATTTGATATTTCACAATATTTCTCTTTTTACTCCATCCAATAATTGTATTTTTATGTTATGATACATTATAAGCCCATTATGAAACTTTATATAATTATTTTATATCTTCAATAGAACTTGATCACTTTAATCACACATTTAATTATAAAACTTTATCACTAACATAACATTTTTCAAAAGATTATCTTGTGTGTGCCAAAGAAGAATGAGTTATACAGGTTTGGAATGACATCAGGGTGAGTATAAAAGATGACAAAATAATGTTTTTGAGTGAAATGTCCCTTTAAGAAGTTTTTTTTTTTTCTTTTTTAATGTGATAACTGTTCATAGAAAGTATGCTTTAATTCTAGGTATGTTAATTCAGATCACGCTCGATACAACTAAGTTAAAATTAATGAAAGATTCTCGGTTTGCTATTTATGGCAGAACCATATGGAGAAACAGCCTGTGAGAGCCGGCGCATTGCCAGAGTCTTGCCCTGATGGACCCGCTCTCAGCTGGAATCCAGGTGAATGTAATTTCAAGTGTTCAAGGAAGATGCTCAACATCACTGATGCCATATTAATGAGAAGCATAGGTTTTGAAAAATCAAAAAATGCAGGATCATTTTGTGGAGCAGGTGTGACACAATGGCTAATATTAGGCCCAGACCCATGGTGATGCGAATGACTTGTTTTTAGTCCTCCTGCTGTGCCTACCTCAGCACGTCTTCTTATTCTGCCTTCACACCTCCTTTGCAGTTTTGAGCACACTGTGAAGCCACAGCCAGATCTTCTACCTCCCTGCTAAAGGAGGCCCTGACATTCACAGGAGACAGCCCATCAAACAGCCTGTTGATAATTGTCCGCGAAGACCCAGATCACCCGAGTCACGCTCACATGAAGTTGCTCGCGGACAGGCCTGTAACCCTGAGAGCTGGTCTTCATCAACAAACTTTGATGGGAGAGAGATGACATGAAGGTCAGTGGCTAATTTTTTTTTTTTTTTTTTTTTTTTGCCGTGATGGTCAGTTAAACACTCACAAGAGGATAAGAGAGAAATCGAGACAGAGAGTGTTTGTGGACAATAGTAATCTTGGATGAAAGCCCTGAGGGTGTTAGAGCAAACTTTCACTCAGCAGACGATCAATACTGAGAACATTCAGGTCTGGCAGTTTACAACTACAATAATGAGTTTAATCAGCACAACACGCTCCCTCAAGGAACCAAAACAAACAGTGCTGCTGGACCACCCCTGTCTTGGTTAAATGCCCCAGCCACATTTCAGATGGTCTAAATTCAAATTAAAGCGCAAGAAATCAGTTTGAAATTATTTAGCTATGCCATCACTGTACATTTAAAGGGATTATATACTTTTGTCATGATTCCATTTTTTTGTCTCTAAGGTATACACTTAATATTAACCAAGGTAGGTTAATGTGCACCAAAAACATTTATAATTTAGTTTTATGACCTTTAGAAATAAGTGGGCCGTTTTTTGGATGCGTCTTTAAGACTTCTATGTAGATGCCTTTTTTATGTGAAATGATTAGGAGTTTTAACAAATCAACTTTGATCCACTTAGTTTTGATCATCTAGTTTGATAAATGGACAAATCTGCTCCAGTTATTTCAGCCTCTCTGCATCACATTGTGACAGTTTCACAAAGCAATCCACGCTGACGTGTAGCACACAAACTGTTAAGATTAGACTGAAACTGTCAGGGATTTAAAAAATAAACTTCAGCTCTCTTTTTTAAACAATTGGACCATTTGGAAAAAATATGCAGCCGGCAGGTGTTAGCCAACTCATAGACAGGGAAGCACAAGATTTGGTCGATTTTCCACATTATTATTTCTTAAGGCTTTTAATAAAAATAGTATCTCTGCTACTTTCTCCTTATTACCTTACTGTGACTGTGCAAAACAAGTTTCTGAGGGTTCGTTGACAGTACAAGTTCATGATCTTGTGTTAATTTATTATCTCTTACAACTGAATATATCTTTAAGGTAGAGACTTCTAAAAGTTTTGAATGAGTTTTGCAGCCAGTTTTAGTCATTTTGGTCTTGGGGAATTAGGTTGGAGCTTTGAAAGATAACTATCCCTTCGATTTCAATGTATTTATGTACTGATAAACATAAGATGATAAACAAAAATATTGACCTTGGTTTTGTATGTATTAGGATGCAGAACAACAGGGGAATGCATTGTAGTACTTAAAGCTTCCCTGGAAATGATATTCAGGTTTCTCACCAGCATTAGTCAGAATCCAACAAACAGCAGCATGACATTTATTCTGCCATAAAATCTTATTTGTAATTCCAATAGCCATTAAGATGCATCAATTAATTATCTGATTCATTTAGCGCCTAATAAACGTCAAACCTTCATTTAAGACGAAGATGCTCTCCAGTAGTGATTATACTATCTCCAGTCTTTACCGGTTGTTTTTTGATCGCTCAGTATTTAATATTTTCTGGTGACCTTTTGAGAATGACCAGCAAATCTGAGGCACATTCATTTTCTTTCTGGAGCAAATTTCTCCCATCTATTACTATTTGACATTTTGACTAGCTCCGCCTAGCGTCTGCTTTACTGATAGGGGTTAAACACAGGGTTTAAAGAAAGCGGCACGGTACAGCAGATTGTCCTTTTGTCTGTGGTGTCCCATCCATTTCAGCATTATCAGGTTAGGGAGATCTAACGCACTCCTGGGTTGCAGCATTTTCTGCATTCGCTTTGGAACGTTTTCCCTGTGACCTTTCTCCATGGCTGGATTTGGCTGCAGCGTTTCCTTCTAATTTAAGCTTTTGGCAGGTGCTGGAGCTTCATTATTGGCGCTGTTCCGTCCCCCCTACTGTCCCCCTTGGATTCTTGTCTCCCAGGCAACTGGTCAGCCCACTAGGCATTGAGCAGCCCAGCACCAGAGTACCTTAAGAGCTGTGTTTTTTGGTTATTGTATGTTTTTTGCATTATTTCTTCATTACAGAATCGGCATGTTTAACACCTTTATTATTTTGAATCCAGAGACCAGAAAAGTGAAAGTTCATCCTTAAGTCATGAATTATGTTGTTCTAATTCAGTATGCCCTTCAACATTTTTTTTAAGTCCCGCTCACTAGCATCAAGATTTTTTTTTTTTTAAAAAGAAGGTGCAAAAGTATCGCAGATTTATCCCATGCGACAAGTTCTGTATTTTCTATATGTGTTCTCGGGTTATATAATTTGAAATTTAACATATTATTCAAAGAAGTCCTGACCGTGGCAGTTAGTCTTTAGTGTACAACTATGCGCATTTGTGTAACTCTATTAGCACTGCAGCTCCGTCCTTCCCAAAAAAGCACAAAAAGCACAAAATCAAGATGAACAAAAATGTGAAGCACAATCTGTACCTTCATCTCTAAGGTGAATATATCCTTTGTTGTGTTCATAGTAACAAGAAGTTATCGCGTTGACGCGTTCACAACTGTCATTCTAACTGTCATCAGACAAACAAACTTCCGGTCCAGTGATAATTGGCTCAGTGAAGAAAGTACACAGATATTTTTTTGGGAATCCATTGTATTTTGTGTCAAGTTTTTGTTAATCCTGATTTTTCACAACATGTGTGCTTTTTCTGGGCGAGATGGAGTGAAATGCGACGCTGACAAAGTGAAACGAACACGCACGTCATATAGCTGTACACTAAATACCAACGGCCAAGGTCAGGATTTTGTTAAATACATTAAATTTAGCATCGTACACCCCCTGAATACATGGAATAAATGCCATATGTGGCATAGTCCATTCTGTGATAATTTTGCATTAAAAACAAGAAAGAAAGAAGGACATACAGCATTAGAACAACACAGTTTATTACTTCATTTTTATTTTAGGGTGAACTATCCCTTTAAGGCCATCTAGCAAAGCTCTTTGGATCACCTAGCAACACCCTAGCAATGCTGTAGCAACCTCTTAGAACACCCTAACTACCACTTAACTTTTACGTAGCAACAACCTAAATGTTCCAGCTACTAAAACCAATCAGGAGACCTTAGTAACCACAACAAGCTGGAAACTGGATACACCTTAGAATTATTGTGGCAGATTTAGAATTGAAAAGCACAGTGTTTTTTTTATTTATTTATTTTTATTTTTTATCTATATATATATATATATATATATATATATATATATATGAAGAGTTCAGATGCAAAAGCCTCTAAATGCCATTTAAAATTGTCTTCTTTAATGATGATTTTTATTAAGTTCAGTAATTTCACTTAAATAACAATTAGTAGGTAATTATCATTGCCATTTAAGTGAAATCACTGAACTTAAATATACAAGTTTGATAAAAAATCATCATTAAAGAAGAAAATTTCAAATGGCATTTAGAGGCTTTTGCATCTGAACTCTTCATATATATATATATATATATATATGTGTGTGTGTATGTATATATATATATATATATATATATATGTGTGTGTGTGTGTGTGTGTGTGTGTGTGTGTGTGTGTGTGTGTGTGTGTGTGTGTGTGTGTGTGTTGTAGCGATAATATAGTCAAAAGAAATCATTTAAACACATCTCCTCATTATTTAGTGTTTTTCCTCTGAATCGTTTTCTGGCTGTGTCTGTCTGGGCCACGTGGCTTGATCAGTGTTTGTAAAGCTGCTCAAAAACAGCTACTCTTCTGTTTCTGTTTGTTCTTTCTTACTCTCCTTCATGCTCTTTATCCTCTTTTCTCTCTGTCTAGTTCTGTTTGTATATTTGAGACATAATAACACGTTGTCAAGTGCCCCACAATGAAAGACATTTGCATATCTTAAATATGGTTTTGGGGAGATACTGACTGCTATCCATAAATGTCTCCCTTTTGCTCTCTCTCTCTCTCTCTCTCTCTCTCTCTCTCTCTCTCTCTCTCTCTCTCTCTCTCTCTCTCTCTCTCTCTCTCTCTCTCTCTCTCTCTCTCTCTCTCTCTCTCTCTCTCTCTCTCTCTCTGGTCCTCCGATTTGCATTTTATCCTCACTGAATGTGTGTTAAATGTCATATCGGGATGTGTGGGATGTCAGAAAAGCAAACTAAATCATGTCTGCATACATGGCTGCATCTTGTGTGTTTCGAAAACACAATCTCCCACGCTGTTATGTTAATGTACATGCATTTTTGTATGAGTATACTGTGTACAAAGCAGAGCCAAAGGAATAAGTTATAGAGTGGGAGGACAAAGCTAGACATGATACTAGTTGTGATGTCACTGCATGGAGAAGGCTCCATGATCTCATAAATATTAATTAGCGTATACTTATATTGCTGATTCCAGTCTGATCTCGCATTGAGATACAATAGAGACAGTTTTATGTTTACACAGGTATATTCAGAATAAATAAATAAATAATTGAATCCAGAAAATCTGTCAAGAAATAACGATAGCACACTGTTTGTTTAAAATACATGTTCGCTTTCCTGAAATCAGAGATTTGTGATGTCTTTTGCTTAATTTGTAAGCAAAAGAAGCATGTGTCATTTTATATGATAACTTAATCTTTACACATGGCTGAATACAAACTTAAAAGTACAGCATGTAAGTGCATGAAGTATTAGCATCTACTTTACATCGTCATGTTTTCTCTCCAGGAAAACTTCACTTGAGTGGGCTAAAAGAGGAATTAAAAAAGCAGCAAGTGTGTTTTGTGAATTATAGTGTCATTTTAGTGGGTCAATCTGGAGTGAGTTAGAGGATCATAAAAAACAAAACCTCAGTTTTTATTTAGCCTAAAAGACCTGTCTGAGTTACATTTATTTCACTGTTTCTCTGTTTGTGGGACAACAGGCTCTTCTACCGGTTCTGCATTCCCTCACTGCCTCCGCGAGGCTGAATTACAGCTGATCTCTTGCCAAGTGAAAGCATCAGCCTGCAAATAAAAGATAATGGAGACCAAATAAATGCTGAAGACGGTGAGTCGGGTCCAACCCGGTAGTCGCGGTCCCCTCACAGAC